TATTTTGAGAACAACCGTTGCAAAGTTGCATTAAATTATTAAAAGCTCTGTATTGTATATTGTATGCGGTTTTTGTTCAGTCGACAGTCAGTTCAGTGCGTATGTGTATGTGGCTCGCAATTATAATCATGAGTGATGTTCCAGAGATTTTGAGGGTTGGGCCAATACAATATGGCAGTATAAGTACAACAAAACTAAATTATATTGATTATTATACCTTATTGTTGCAAATATATCATGATTTTTGAACTTATAATTTTATATATTCGAAACCAATATGTGTGTATCCTGATTTTTGGTAAAAAAGGAAGGTTATACACTGCCTTTTTTTGAGCCCGAAAAAAAAATTGTCTCAGATCGACCCGGAAAAAAAATTTTCTTATAGAATGTGGCCTGTAGAATCCATAATTTCAAACAGTTCCAAGATTGGGCTACTAGTTCATGTTCAAAAGTTACAGCCCTTTGAATTTTCTTTCGAAATTGGTTTCTAGTCTATAACTTTTGGTTGAGAAGTCTGATCGAAAAAGTACGAATTGTTTTGGATTCTACACACCAAAATTAATAAGAATTCCCGAGAAATTTTGTTGCAGTCGATTTTTGGCAGGGTGTGTATATTAGTTGCAATAATCTAAGTTACTTATTAATACAAAGCGGAGATGTTAATTCAACTACTCCCGTATGCATATGAGATGGTTGCCGTTACATACAGTTTTTTTGTATGAGTTAAAACAATATATAAGTAGTAACACTAGCTATACACTTGCAACAATATGTATATGATAAATTTTATAATTCTTCATAGCTATCCCTATACGTATTATATTTTTTGATAGCTATTATTATATTTTTAATTACCTTTAACATACATTTTTCTCCGTGTGCTTACTTAACTTTTTAAATTGGTTGAAGTATTTCCTGGGCAGTGTTCCTTCATTTAGAATGCAAAGATAAATAAATTTTATTCAGGGTAATTTTTCAAATTGTTGCTGTGGCCAGAAAGAAAAGTCTAGTTCTTCTTTAGCCGGACATGCACTATCTAAAGTAACCGCGTCATTCAATTCCATCCCCAAATAGGCACTTTTGTTCATTTCAGCGATTGTAACTGTAAATTATTGTTCAGGTTAAATAAGCAACCCTATACATGTGCGCATTGTTACATTTGACATAACTTTTAAGTGCGTAAACGACAATGAATGCTCGTTGATCTCCTTGACAGATAGGTATGGGGCCTCCCAGTAGTGCAGTATGAAAGAATTGCGCACTACACATTTCCTGGATATAAAATAGTTCTCCTCCCGTCCTGCTTTCTTTTTTAGAAAAGTTAGCATATACTTAGTGGAAAATTTATTTATCCCAGATTTCTCCAATAAAACAGCAAAACACACTGCCTCGACGTACAGATATCAACTTCTGTGCTTTACTGTATTAATTAAGACTAGATCGTTAGGTATTCAGACTATTTCATCTTGAAAACAGCAATATGCACTGCTCCGATGGACCAGAGCAACTTCAAGGATTGCAACACGTTAATTACCTCAGTCGGTCGTGGATGGGAATTAAAAGTATTTTGGCTCCTCAAGCAATCGTCACTTCAGTCTTCAATTAGTGGGTGGAGTAACTCGGACTTGTTTTACAGTGAATTGCTCTCTTCCTATTCTGGCGATTTCTTCAGGTAAGGGTAAGGGGGATTTTTTTTGTAAAGCCATAACCTAACGTAATCGATTACGAATTAAATATGGCTGTGAAGTTTAATTTTGTAACAAGTTTACTAGTATTGGGTATTTCATCAATTTTAAATAAATCACTGGATTATTTGATTGCGCGAAATTGCAACGCATTGTATTTTATCGCTTTCCTTCAATTCTTCCCAGTTCCATACGAGGCAGCTCCAATCATTTAAAGAAACTGGGTGGCATTCAACTCTACAGTAGGTTACGTGGAAGCTTACTAAGATTTTATATGCCCTACCGAATTGTGGAGTATCTCATGCCCTGTTATACGTTATAATCCCTGACCTAGCTTATGCGGTGGATTTGAGAATATGCAGGGCCACCTTAACTCACGTCACACATCCTGAACAATTAAATTTTAATTTGGGTCAATAGGAAACTATGTGTCAAGGCAGTACGACCAATCCGAGGTCTATTTTCGAGGCAAAAAGATTCGTACCTGAATAAAAGGTGGTTCTAAGTTGGGTTTGACCCTTTTCAAGAATACATTTGAGGTCGCCTTTGAAAGCTCAAGTTAAGTGCGATTTACCATGTAAACAAAAATTCCAAAGGTGACTCGACAGCAACTCATTTTGGATCACATAGTATATTTTTAACAAGAGAGGGATAATAAATAAATAAAATTAATACATTAAAGGTTTTTGTTTAGACCATCTTAATTCTGCATCAAATAACCCCATCCAATTATGGATGCCATCCTGGTCAGGCGAACATGACTTGATGTTACGGTTGCAGTCTGACTAAGTTATAGTTTTGATTTTCGTCAGTGGTAAAATCGGTAAATATTGATTCTTCTTCAGGTTTGATCTCAAGAAAGACGTGAGGGTAGTTTCAGGAGCTGCTAACTTTATAGCATTGATCCGCAATAGTGTTAGTTATATCTTGCGGATTATTTGTAAGTATTCCACCGGAATTGCGCAAAAATACCGGATAATTGCAGCTGATTTTACCGGATATAACCGCAACCAGAAATCATTACTGATAGTCTCTGGTGGTTAAGTATTGTTGCCATGAAATTCTTTGCGCTTCTTACTTCTGCAGATAACGGAAATTCTGGCAAATACATGATTGATTGATAACGTGATAGTGGTATGTCGCACTATCAATCAATCATGAAGAAGAATGCCCATGATTGATTGATTGATGATCATGCAGATTTATATGATTGCTACTGAACTCTTTCAGCCCTATCATATGATGAACGACCCATTGTAATTTTGATTTAAAAAAATCATAAATTGCAAAAATTTAAATAGCAAGAAGCTATAATGAACCCGCGCCTGCACCTCAGCTGCCACAAGGTAAACATTGCAATATGCACCACTTCTCCCACAATGAGTACTATACAATTTCAAAAGTCAATTATTTTTTATAAAAATATCCTAAAATCAAATTTGGTTGGTTATGAATTTATTTTAAAATACGAAAACAAATACAAAATAAATGAACTTTACCTACACATTTACGGTTTTGATGTATTATATTTATTTTATTAAATGCTCGAAATGGTTTCCACTAGTACACATACAATAATAAAGTCTGTATTGAGCTCCTTCACGGACATTAACAAGTATCTCTTGTAATTTATCTACAGTCATGTGTTTTTCAGCTATTGATATTACCAGGTGAAGTCTTACACACTACCGTTTTCGAATGTCTCCAAAGAAACAAAGAAATCAGGCGCCCGTAAGCCGGGAGATCGTCGTGGCCATCCATGGCATCCCCTCTGCAATTCTATTTACCAGGATAAAATGAATTGGGAGCGAAAACCCATCGAATTGAAAATTCAAATTTTGTTCGTCTAGCAGCATGTCCCAATCGTCGTCCACTTGACTCTCCAAAGAATGCGTGTTCCGAGTGCAGTAAATTCTGGGATAGTTTTCCTCGTAAGTTTCCTTCAGGAATATCATCCCAATAATTTAATTCCCAATTAAGTATACTTGGTATACATTGATGAAGAAATTGGGGGTAACCTTTTTTTAAACAAGTGTGGATTTTCGTCACCCAAGTAAATTGTGCTTGTTCACAAATGCGTTGAAGAAAGCACAAAAGCAGATGTTTTGGAAAAATTAGGAGTTTCATGAATTCTTTGAAGTAAATTTTCCGATTATAATCATTTTCTCCCAATTCTCGTAAAACGCAGCGTGTGTGAAACAAAATTCCGTAGATACTGTTGTGTAAATTGCAGGGGGGTCTCGTTCTCTAGATTGAAATAAGTGGGTGGGATATCTAATTTACTACGGAATTTGATTGCGGCATTTTATTTTGTTTTGAGTGTGGAAAGTCAACGTCAGGTTTTTCTTTGTGCCGGGACCCAAATGTACTCTGAGTTCGGTATTGGATAATGCCAATTATATCTGTCATATGAGATAGATAAAGCAGTCGATTACCAAAGATTAAGACAATCGGATCTCAAAGCTTTCCCCATACATTTATTGTTGTACTATTAAAACACGACTATAGTTTCGGCGATAATCGCCATGATCAGGTGAAGTTAATTATTATTGATGGAAGAAATTGAAGACAGGTTGAAAAAGAAAAGAATAGAAGGTGTTGAAGTTACAATTTGAAAATTGGACGCATTGAAGATTGGAAATTGTTGAAAATGAAATTTTACGGCACAGACAAATATTGAAATGCACTATTTAAGGACTCTAAAACCGAAGAGGGTGCCCTAATTAAAAACAACCATTCGGACGTTGAATTTTAAATTTTAAATTTACATTGAACTTGAACTTGACGTTTGAAAATTGAAAATATAACACATATTGGAAAGGGGGAAAGCTACAAACAGCTTAAATGTTTTCTGATGTTTACATTATTTAAGAATTAATTACGAAATTAAATTCCAGACACGCCGTCTGCTTGTTCTGGAATTTAATTTAGTAATTAATCCTTAAATAATCCAAAAACATTTAAGCTGTTTGTAGCTTTCCCCCTTTCAGGAAACTGTATGGAGTCCATTAATAAAATGCATAGTTAGCGAGCTATAACGTTGCCTACGTTCACCAGACGGAAGCGCGGTTTGAATTAGTATCTCAAATTAGGGCCATTCAGATTTGGAATGTCTTACCTCAATGACCAGTGGTCAGTTTGTAAAATGGTCTATTTACTTAGCCTAATACGCGTTTTGCTGATGATCACAGTTTTGCGATGGAAACGGGTACGTTCTTGTAAGACCTTGAAACATAGCCGCACGTCACACGTTCTCAATATCTAAACCTTTATTTTCTTACAAATAAGGCAAAGGTAGGTACCTACTTAAAAGTATTACTGAAATTTTGCAACACCTTCAAGTCCGCATTTAACAAATTCAAACGCCATCACACATTTGTCTGAATCTGTCACTTTTTTATCACATTCTTGCGACACCTTAAATGACTCTTCATCCATCATATCCTTCATAGCTACAGCATTGAACTTACTCGACGTGTCGAAAATGTGTAATTGATCTAGAACACACTTTATTACGCACTTCAAAGGATAGTCGTCGATCAGGTTTAGATGGTCAAAAAAGTCGTCTACCACAGCTTTTTGAGCACCGGACGATTTTGTGCATTCATCCCTAAAAGGTTCTACGGCGGCATCCCACAATTGCTTTATTTCCGGCTTAACCTGGAAATTAAATCGGTTAGGTAATACTTAAAGAAAACGGAACTTGATACCTCCAAACACACTACTGCCGAGGCCGAAATTACGAAGCAGAATAGGGCATACACCTTCATGTTGAAATAGTTAGCTTCAATTGCACTGCTACTTATAATATTGTATTTATAATATAATTTTCAAATGGTACAGCCTAGAATTATTTCTAATTAGATCATTAAAGATAAAAATCCACACACTATGGCAATTTATACTCGCATACTGTGGTCATTACAATTACTGTCAGGGTAAGATATAGGTATTTGTTCGAAATTATGCATGGTGAATGTTAAATACATTTCAATTAAAAAATACGTACTTAAATGTTTAATGTAAGTGCATGAATGGATAAATTAATAATACAAAATTATGAGTGAATATGAAGCGATAAAAGTAAATTGTTTAGTACAAAGTCTTACAATCACTTACACTTACACGATACAGAGTGTACTAAAACTAGCATTTTGTACACAAAAAGTATTCTAATTAAATCCCAGATCTGTGAATTTTTAGTATGTAAACGCACTTCTATGCTATGAGACATACCTAATTTTATGACTGTAAGAAGTTCTTTGCCAAAATTCCAAATGGATAGCATCTTCCAGTAGAAAGTACCCGACTGATGATTAATGTACCTACTCATAATTTCATTATATGCACTCTGACGATCTCTTCTACTGCATGTATCAACGTGCCAAACCTCTCCAGGATATCCTGATGTAAACAATGTTTATTATAAGTTGTAATTCTAAATCCCATTTGATAATTATCATAATGGATTAAAAACTCAAAGACTGAAGAGGTAATTGTCATTATAAATAAACTGAAATTCAGCCCTTTCATCTGAATTAATGTACTTGAACGGAAACTGCCGAACTTTCGACTGTAGACACTGCTAGGTAAATTATTAGGTTCGTATCCAAATTTCGTCAAAAGTAAATGTGACAATTCGCTGCTATTAGATGAATAGCGACCCCGGTTGAGTTCTTGTTTGCTATAGTAGCTTTCATGGAAATTCATACAGCAGACAAGGGTATTTTACGTTTAAAGGTGGGTAGAGTGTGTGGAGAGTATCTAAAGTAATAATAGCTTGTCGGTCTGCTTTATCAAAATACACGCTATTCATTATTTGCGTATAAACGCATTGGATGCATCTGAACCGTGAATTACCAAGTACTGAGTTAATGACAAGCAGCTCTTATTCTAACGTAAAACATGGATGGTACAGAAAATCGATGCTTTATACTCGTTGTCTTCCGGCAGGTGATGCTTTTAAATTAATTGATCAAGATGCGGCATACAGGAGATATTAACACGCTTCCAGCAAAAAGAAAACAAGAATCAGATCAGAAGTCCCACCTGTTGCCAGGTTGAGAAGACATTGATTTGCATTAAAGCAAGGGGCATTAATTAATATGCAATTTAATTAATATGCAATTCCCAAACACCGCGCGTGGATAACAAAACTGCATCACAGTCAACAAAAGCTCATATCTGATGTAATCATTTTTGAGGTTTTTTTGAGGGTGTTGGCATTTGCGTTCCTCTTGACTATAACTGTGTAGGCTGGATTTAGTGCGTTTGCAGATATTTTCGAGCAGTGTGACAAAAGGAGTTGTTGTCTTCTTAGCCAGAGGGGAAGATCGTTGGTTTACATATTGTAATGAACCCGAATTTGCTCGCTAAAATTCGATTTAAATATTCCCGAACCCGCCCCTGGCGCGACGAAAGAATTCAAGATTGCGCTTTGTTTCGTTTCCGTGGAACACGTAATTTTAACGCATTTTTGACACTATTTTATTCGTTATGACTGGCTGGCTGGCTCTCCGCCGGAGATCTCAGCAATTACAATAGCTATAGAGACAAATTTTCACTAAAAGCTTTCTGCTATAGTATAGATGTACAGACTCTAGTCTATTTTGAGTTCGCTAATAAAAATACTGTTCGGAATTACCAAAAATTCGCTTTCATCATGCATATGCTGATTTACAACTTGTTTTCTGCTCTACATTCAAATGGGCCGTAATTTAATGACGCATATCGACCAACGACCGCGCGTCGATATTAACAGTTTTCGTCTACGATTTGCTTAAAGGGGAAATTTAGGGAGAGGTATTTGTGCTTTTGTTGAGGGCAGAAGTAATTTTTACGTTTCGAACAGCAAGTGCAGCCTCGACAATTACAAAGGTGGTGTATTCTTTTTATCTTTACGTTTATTGCATCCATCTAGTAATTATATGATCGTGTTAGATCATATTCCAAATTAACGGCATTCCCGTACAGCAAGGGTATTGTCATTTATAACTCATTTTAAATACCAATTGCCCTTTTATAGGTCTACTGATCATACTTTAAATTAAATGCAAGAGTCCATTATGTTTTCTACGTAAATATGTGGGTTTTCAATTTACAGTATCCCTTTGTTCCTAATGCTGGTTTTAGCTGCCAACCCGCAATATGAACTACTGACCGATTTACGTGTTTTTATTTATATTTAGATACAGTATGTTCTCTTAGGGATACGAGTATGCAGAATTGAACGATGTAATAAATATTATAGTGATTCCTGGATGGTGCTGTATTTGGAAACATCGATACTACATTCTTAATTAATAATTGAATTTCTTAAAGCATATTTCCTTTCTTTTTCTTGAAGAAGTTACTGTTTATTACAGGGTGCTTCATCTGAGGGCGAGTGGCGTACGTTCGGGCGTTGATTGTTTCGTGTTACACTTGGCATTGAGAATCAATTACTTTATACTAATGTTAAAATTAATTAAAAGTATTATTTCATATGCTGCATAACACTTTCACATTGCTTCAAATTTCGGTGGTGCACTAGAAATAAATAAATACGGATTGAACCTTAAGTGGCCCCTGATGCCCCACCTTCTTCTAACAGTTTTATTTTAAAATTTATTTAGTCATTTATTTGTTTAACCAGACATCATACAGAATAAGAAAATTCCAATTACATAGCACTGGGGATCTGAACATACAGTAGGGCTTATGATCTTGTTTGATTATGATGCACTATTATATTTAGGGGACCGTGAAAAAAGTCGATATCATTCACTGAGGAGAACTTATTTTAAGGGATCAGGATCCTAATAAGTGGAGAAGTTGTGTTGCTAACTGCAAAAATAGTATTATTTTTCCTTATCCTAAAAAATTGTAACTTCAGCTTAATTTATTGAAGTAATTCGGAAGAGTTTAACGAATTTTGTAAAATTTTGAAGACAAAAATTGTGGATGCAATGAACCGTCGGGTTTCTAATCCCGTTATTTTTAAGCCGAAAGTACTATTTAAGTAATTAAGCTGGGTACCGAAAGAGATCAATTGTGGATAATTGTGGGTTGACCTAAAAAACTCGGTCCGAGAAAAAGAAAGAAGACAGTTTGGAAATTGTTGAACGATTCAGCGGTGCTAGGAGGAAAACGTTTTCAATGGTCCGTCCACCGCAAAATCGCAGATTACTTCAGCTTTTAACTATGTATGGCAGGGGGGGGGGGGGCGTTCTCATTTTTGAACAAGTTCTTACCCCAACGTCCGGCCCAGCGTCTCTCCATTCTCAGACCGTGTATCTTAAGGTACAACATTGCCTTGGAAACAGCTTAACACCACGCAATGGGGATGGAGGACATTTCACGAGCAATTCACCCCGACACCAAACACATTACCGCTGTATTGTGATTGTATTCGTAAAAAAAGGCATTGTATTTGAAAAACAAAATGTTGCATTGATTTCCGGTCAACCCGGAAGTGACATCGGAAGTTTGAGTATGCGATCAGATAGATCGTAATGTCGCGTAGGTATAAATTATATTTGACACATTTTTCGTATTTCGCCAAATAAAAGAGATACAATATTGAGTGAGGTGACCCTCTTATCTCGAACGCACTGTATATCAAACCGCACAAGTATGTACATTTGTACAAATGTGGGACAATAAAAATTCAGAATAAATAGAAATTTATTTGCTTCGTTGATTGCGTGAGGGGTGAGGTAGGACACGTAATATTCCACTCACTGTAGTTCAGTAGAACTTTCTATCAAGATGCTGTTTTCTGTGACCGCCTACACCATATCTGCAGACGCGGTGGTATACATATTTCCATTTTACAAATATTCGAGTTAATTAGATTCAGAATGGTACACAACGTTTCAAACAATATGGCAGTGTACAATAGACCAGAAGCTACTGAAGGCGTTATATCCAGAGCTAGACAATTTTCTTGAATTTGTATTCTCTAGGTTAAACAACAGAAAGCCAAATTATATCAAATAACGTGTATCCACGTTCATTTTGTAGCACCCTCTTCGCGTACAAAGCACAATTAGCTTTAAGAATCTGTACGTTTCCTTATCGATTTTTCACAATTTTGCATTTAAAGCTTTCAATGCGAAATGTTGTCTCAGAAAACAAGTGACGAAAAACGTAAGTGCTTTTGACATCTTGGCCCTATTCACTTGTCACTAATCAATAATGGAAACAATTCATCACCGCCAGTGATTAATCTGAAAATTTTTTTTTCTGGTTTTCTCGAACACAAACTGTTCATAAATCACACATCTTTGATGCCCGCGTGCATTTCCCGACAACGACAAATACTTTTCTCATAAACTAATCGACGATTGTAAACGTCGCGTCGCGTCGTTTTTAAGAGGTATATAAAAAGTCTAACTACCGCGTTTTTTGCTTTGGGTATAACATCGTCGTCTAGGCCCAGAACGCCAACAAATCGACCCCATAGAACAAAAGCAGTGCAACAACTGTTATCTCAAGCATGGAAAAATATAACGACGCCTGTCGATTACTTTTTCTTTTATGTTACAGTTTGCAAGCAAGCGTTGTGTCGTTTCATTTTTCACCCAATTGTTAATATTTGAATGTCTTTATGCCCTGCTTTATGCAGTGCTACTCGTATTTGTAACTGTATGCATTATCGGAAATGTTTCTAGATGAATGAGAGTTTTTATCTGATACTATATGCAATTTTGGTCTCGGATAACACCCAGTTAGCCGCCCCCGCCCCTCATAACCCCCCAAACCACAAAATCCACCACACTGTTTGACA